GATTGTGATTGTATGGGAGCCACGTCGCACCTCTCAGCAAGAGGGAGAGGGGAAGCCCAAAAGGCAGGTCTGCTCTGTGTGCTTTGGATGCAAATCACATCTCACAGAACAGATTGACAGAGCGTAGAAAGGGACCCTGGAGGTCATCTAATCCAATCCCCAACTCAAGATGGGAGATACCATTCCAGATAGTCCAAGAAAGAGGAGAGAAAGAGTGATGAGAGAAAGAGAGGGAGAGAAAGAGAGTGAGAGAAAGAGAGAGGAGTTAAAGAGAAAGGGGGGGACAGTGATGAGAGAAAGAGAGTGAGAGAAAGAGAGAGGAGATAAAGAGAAAGAGGAGAGAAAGTGATTTGTGAAAGAGAGGGAGAGAGAGAGGAGAAAGAGGAGATAAAGACTGATGAGAGAAAGAGAGTGAGAGAGATAAAGAGAGAACGGAGAGAAAGGAGACAAAGGAGAGAAAGAGTGATGAGAAACAGACAGAGAGAGAGAGAGAGAGAGACAGAGAGGAGATAAAGAGTGATGAGAGAAATGGAGAGAGAGAGGACATGGAAAACAGATGCTCCTTCACTCAACCGACATCTCCCTCTTATAAGATGCGAGATCTGTGTTGTACAAACCCTACCAATTTCATAGTATCACAGAATGACAAAGTTGGAAGGGGACTTGGAGAGAACCAGTTCAACCCCCCCATTTCATCCATTCCCACTCGACTACTCAGGTAGACCTTGACTTACAACGACCATTGGGGATCAGAATTTCCATCGCTAAGCAAAGCGAATATCCAAAATGACTGGTGTCCGATTTTACAGGCTTGTTTTTGGTCTTGTTTGTGCAGTTGTGAATGTGGAACCATAAAGACCTTCCGTGAACCCAGCTTCTCCAGTTGACCTCTCCAGTCGGAAGCCGGCTGGAAATGGGGCAAAAAGCAATCGGCGGGCTGGTGCGCACACACCGGCCTAGGAGACAAATGCCTCGATCTTCCATAAAGAGGGAAGATTCACCCAGAGCAGACAGCTGGTCATTTGCATTCTTTTTACAGAGCCATTGAGGCCACTTGGAGGTTAGTTTGTATCCTCAGGCTCAAGCTTCTTCTCCTCTAGCTGGATAGTGGGGAAGGGAAGGATTATGAAACC